TACCACGTCCACATCGACGATTTGATCGCGGAGGCATATCCCCACATAAAAGAGGAGGGAGATCATATGGACGAGGAAACCGATTTGAATCACCTCGATTGAGAGGAGTGTTGCCTTTGTTGGGACCACAGTTAGAGGGATTACCGAAAACCCCTCCAGGCGAACCCTCAGTATCCGAATACTCTCCACGACTGACGGTTAATATAAGAGAAGATGATGACCGCCTGAACGTGATCGTGGATGAACACGAGACGATTACGGAGGAACACAGGAGAGTCATACATGACTTCAACCGAATATGCCACGATTTTTACCGGATCCACGAACGCGTCGATGACGAACATGCGTTCTACGGCAAATTGATGTCAGTGGCAGGGATGTCACATCCCACACACGAGGCACTTAAAGAGAAGACAGCGGTTCTTATTCAGAAAAGAAAGGAAATCGGCATTCAAATTGTGACGATGAAAAGGTGTCATCCAGCCTTAGTACATCGAAACTGGCCGGATATAGTGGAAAAGATTCTCCGTTTTATCAGAAAATATCCAGAAGAACGATCCCGATCGGTAGATGCCGCACCGACTTCATCAAAAGAAAAATCGGGGACATCATTGACGAAAACTGTCGAAGAGATGACAGATGAAGAAATATTGGCGGAAAAGAAGAAGCTCGATGAAGCTTTGAAGCAACGCACGAGATCACGGACAAGTTCGACAGCAGAGTCGTCTAGCCATGGCACATCGAAACGAGCCAGATCCGTGACAAAGAGTCCGAAATCGGGAGATGGTCAGAAGGCAAAAAAGCCTACGGTGAGTAAGGAACCACCGCAGGCGCATGAAATGCCCGTACCAGTTGTACCGGTGGCCAAGAAGGCTCAACAACCATCGGTACCACCTCCAACTCAGCCGATCCCACCACTACCAGCGGCACCCAGTCAACCGATACCTGTAGCAGAGATCCCACCAGTCAGAGCATACTTGGTAACCTTCCCTGGAACAGATGGACAGAAGAAGATGCTCGCTGCTCGACTCGTGGATAAAAAGACGAATCAGGAGATTCCGTCAGGTATTGATAAGGCAAATAAAGAGTTAAAGAAAATAATCAATACGGCATCACGGGAACAAACCGAAGCGGCCTTAGCAGCTATCCCGAACGAGGTGGACCGCAGAAATCCCCGAATCCTCATCCGAATGATGAAAGAGTTGATAGCGAAACAGGCGAAAGAAGAGGACGCCTGGATTCATATACGAGTGGGTACGAACGAGGACCACGTGTTATATACGTACACAGCGGAAGGACAGATATTAGCGGTTGAAAGAAAAACGTTAAAACCGGAAGAAGAAGATACAGGCGGGAAGAAGAAACGGAAACCCGATTACGATCCAGCGTACCTGTATACTGAGCCAGTCTGCAGACTGTTTACGATCGGATATGAATATGCAGTTGACATACCAGGGATAGCGATAGTGGAAATCGTTGATCCGTTATCGGGAGATCCGATCCCCTTCGCACCGATGTGCATATCGAAGGAAGACAGAGAATATGCTGACAAAGAATCAAGGAAAGCCCTTGCAGCATTATATAAAATGTTACCGCCCGAGGTGAAGAATAACGCGGTGGCGCTGACAGCAGCGGTGCTCAGCCTCATGCAACAGCGTGCCGAGGCGGATCAGGCTTTCATCCGATTGACATATAACCACGATGATGGAACGCTCCGAACAGCCTGTTACGATCATCGAAAAACACCGCTGTATTGGGATATTACACCTCCTGAACATATCAAAGCTGCAAATGAACAGCTCGCCAAACAGCAACAAGCTCAAGCCCAGGCTCAACTCGCGGCACAGGAAGGTCCTGCCGGAGAAGCCGATGAGGAAATGGAAGATAATGGTGCAGCCCCCGAAGGAGGAGATGACGCTCCAGAAGATGATGATGAAGAACCGGAATCAGAAGATGAACCGATTGATGAAGATAACCCTAAACGATCATTGGCCAGAGTTTTCGAGATCGTCAAAGGAGCTAAACATAAGCCGTGCAATGACGTGAATTGTCCTCATTGTTTTCCACCTCAAGATTCAGACGACACTGAAGACGATGACGAATCATCTGAAGAAGATTCGGAAGATGAAAAGCCGAAGACAAGATCGTCCAAAACGGCTGCAAAGCCCACGGGAGTTGGAAAAACTGGGCAGGAATCCGGACAAACTTCAAAAGGGGACACTAAAACCAAGAAAGAAAAGGCGGAAACTCAACATAAGAAGAAGGGACACAAAAAGGGGGAGTCCTCACCAGATGTAGATGTTGAGATCGATTACGAGGACGTAGTCGTTACAGATGATAGCCCGTCAACGGCCACAACACCGAAGAAAATTGTCATTGAATCAGCGACATCAACCGCGTTTAAGTCGAAACCGATTGCATTGAAGAAAGTAGTCCCGCTCGGACAAATCATGTCAGCATCGACTCAGAAAGAGCGCAAGGAGAAAGCTGAGACTGATAAGAAGAAACGCGAATCATCTCGCGAGTCGACGGCATTATCCGAAGCAAGTAGCCGCCCAAGCACATCGACAATCATGTCAAAATCAGTCTCGGTAGGAAGAACTACACGAGGCAAAACGGCTGAACCGAAGGTGGCGCCGAGCTTGGAGTCGACTTTGGAAAAACAGAAACAGCTGGCCTTAGAAAAACAAAAGAAAGAAGGGAAGAAGAGTGGTGAAAAGAAATCAAAACCTCCAGCGGTCCGAAGAATTGACGCCCCAGGCATGGCAGGATACGCCAGAATTCTAGGCGACAGCGAACTCGAATACTCGGAACCAGAAAACTCCGAGCCATTTCCTGAATTTGATGAACCTGACGGCGAAGACCTAACGGAAGATGATATGATCGAAATCACTAAGAAAATAGTGAATAGGATGCGTACCAGGATACATCGATCACATTAAAATTCCGCAGGGAAGCGAAGGAAAAAATGGAGGCACAAGGTCATTCCTTTACAGCTCGAAAATTCCATACGTTAGTGGAATACGCCCTGAATATCGGAAAGCTGACGAAGAAACATCTCGACTGGAAACTAGGAGCGAAGTTGGTCAGGACTAAAGGAATCGACAAACAGCTGTTCGATCAACACGCTGATAAGAGAAGACAGATCGAGTTAGCCATAGCAGGAATGCGCAGTCCCACCGGCTCAACTCGACACCGCATCACGCAGTACATCAACGGATTATGGCATGGTGGAAATGGTAATTTTGCAGAACTCGAAGCGGGAAATGCTACGATGTTAACCGCGATGATTAAAGAAGGAAAAGTCATCACCACTAATGCCCATATGGGATCACCGATCCGATACACCACGTTGGGACTAATACCGGTAGAAATCGAAAACCAGAACCATTATTCCGAAAGTGAAGATTTGACGCTGCTCGACGTTAAAAAACGAGATGACCCGGCTACACCTATACTAAATGTTCTCCACCGAAAGGGAGATCAATTGAGAGCAGCGGAAGCGAAACTCGCGGCGGATAAGTTGAAAAAGAAGCCGTTACAAGACAGAGGTATCATGGATGCCGACTCCGAAACGGACGATGAAGACGAAGACAATGATGTAGCAGCAGTTCCCGCGAAGCCGGTAGAGAAAGCGACGAGCCGAACGGGGGATGAACGGAAGGTCGTTCTCCCTACCGATAAATTGGCACAACAAGCTGAGGCTGAACTGGCAGACATGCGTGAAAGACGAAAGACGTCTGGACTTGCGCTACCTAAGACCAGTGGAGCTGGCAGTAGCAAACCAAAAAACAACAAAGCGGACTCGGCACCCTCCCAGAGCATTGAACCGAAATCGACTAAATCATCGTCAAGTTCGATGGCGAAACTCACAATCGACGAGAAAGGACCTGTGACGGACTCAACAGAAGGTTCGGACACCGGAGCGAAATCCGAAGACCGAGAATATATGCTCGGAATACCGTTGGACAACGCCAATCAAATCTGGTGCGAACTTAAACGTTTCCTGGGAAGTCAACAAGACCAGACGATGGGCCACAGGGAGCTCAAATCGGCTATGTGCCAGAATAGAGCTCTGAAATTATCGGGAAGTAGCTTCGACCGGATGACTAAACGAGCCTACAAAGAAGGGAAATTAGGCTTCAGTTATACGGAAACGAATAAATGGGTATATTATCTACCACCTCCAACACGCACTCCCCGATTAAAGATGGATCTGAAGTTTTGGAAGATTGCTATGACCGATGCGGCGATACCCAGACTCGGTGGAAATAACGGAGTGACATGGGATGACCTATCGAACTTTTTCGCCGTCAACTACGAGTTAGGCGAATTCAGCGTTGAAAAAGATCGAGAGTGGATCAAGAAGACAGTTGAGAGCCTGGTCGCCGAAAATATACTGGAAATAAAAGATGACAGAATTCATCTAAAACCGGAAGATCTGTCAGATGATACACCACAAATCGAAGAGGCTGTTCACGAATAGCTTCGGGGGGAGTTGGTTCTACTCCGCAGGAGCTGCCACCCATTGAGACGAAAGCAGCTGAACCTGATCCGAAGTCATCGGCAACTAACCCGAACGATCCGAAAACTGATGAAACTGAACTGAAGTCAACTGAGACTGTGTCAGCTGATCCAGCTGACACATCGCAAATGGAATAGCGATTAATCAGCTGCGTGATATGCGGTCAGGAAGGTCCACCGCATGTCACAGAAGAGCATCACCAGTTCAGATTATAAGAAGGCGATATAACAGAGTTAAAACGACGAAAACTGGAAAAACTTAGCGAAAGTGCTAAACAGATGTGAAACGAGATGCGAAAAGTCAGTCAGATTAGGCGAATGAGCTTAAGACTTGGCAGGCATAAGAAGGGCGTTATGAGCTAGGAAGGTCTCAGCTCAGTACAGGAATAGCCTAAAAATAGGCGTAAAATGATAAGAAGGACTTCATGGGATAGCGATGAGATGATGAGATGTAAATTGACATGTTCTGATTACAGATTAAAGTGGAAAAATGGCTCAAAAAGTCAAGCCAACCCGAAAGTCCAGATGACTAAGCAGATCCAGGGCAGGTTAGCTCAACCGGCACCTCTGGCTGTACGAAGTCAGGCAGCACCTGCGCCGGTGAGAAACCAGGCTACACCGGCACCTTCGACGAGTCAGACGACATCGACGCCTCCTGATCCTGAAATTGATCAGTTTACGGGCTTTAATCCAAAATGTCCGGACTGTATTCGAAATAGTAAGATCGATAATAGGAAAAGCCCATGCTGGTTTTGTATATTTAAGGAACCAGGCAGAACTTTAGTGGCATATACGGAAGCCATTTACGGAAATCGAGATGTTTTCCGCACCCTTACATCTGCGGAGGCATGGAAAACGGTCCCACCACGGGAAAAGATGTTGATAGAAGACCGTTATCGTCAGGCAATTGCGACTAATGAAGCCGGATGGGATGTCACTTTCGAACCTCCGCAAGATGACAAAGCGGATGCCTATAGAAAGCAGTTCAACGCTGATTCTGAACGAATGCAAGCTGAAGCAAACAGACAAAGAGAATTAGAAGCTGAAGCAGTCGCCAGCCGCAGACGCGCTGAGGAGCAAGTTGCGCGTGAACATCGGGCAAAATTGGCACAAAAAGAAAAAGAGCCAATAACCGTATTCAAATTAAATGAGGATGAGGCCAGCGCCAGAGTCCAATCATTGACGATACAAATTGACGCGCTGATAAAAAACCCTCTGGATATCCGCAAAGACTTATTCGAAGCCCTTCTGCGAGAGAAACTCAGGTTGGAACGAGGTGAAAAACCTAAACCGGAGACGCAGATGCTCATTGAAAAGATGACTGAGGAAGCTAGGAAATCCCGTCAACGTGAAGCGGAGGTGATGAAGGCATTCCAAAGCTTCAAACGAGATGAAGGAGGGTTTACACGACCTCGATCACCTGCCAGACGAAGTGAGAGATCACGTGAATATTCACGGGAAAGAAACTACGACTTCCGGAATGAGAGATCGCGGGAATACTCTCGTGAACGAACCCGGGACTATCATAACGAACGAGATGATAGATCCCGTGAACGATCTCGCGATCGAGATTATCGTGGCCCGAGAGGTTGGGAGCGCCACGGAGATGAAGTGGTTGAAGTTGGTGCTCGACGTAGACCAGCTCAGAATAACACCGAACGACGATCAGAATCGCGACAACCGGAACCTGAAAAGGAACGTCGTCAGGAACCAATAAGTTGTGCATTCGTGCATCAAAAAGTCAGAGGATTCACGCCTGAACGATCTCGAGATCAGAGAAGAGATCGTAGAAATCGAAGTCCCGACCCACATGATAAGATGTGGCAGGAAGATGTGGCATTCTTCAACACATTTGAGTTGCCAACTAAACGATCTTCCAGCGGAGAGCGGGAAGACAGCCCACCGAAGTACACTCGTATGCAGTCTGAAGTTTACGTGGTGGATCCATTGATCGTGACGACATCGACAGATGAACCGATGGACACATCGTCCTCACAGGACACCGTGATCCACAAAAGACAGGTGATTCTCGATAGCGATCTTCAGCCGTCGACATCGGCGAGTAAGGCACCGCCGCGACGTGAACAGGACGTTCGTCACATTATAGAAGAGAGACGTCAACAAGAAGATAGACGCAAACCGGAACATCGACGAGAAGACGACCGTCAGCCAACGAGTAAACCGTCCCGGTTCAATAACCCGTCAAGACGTCACCAGTTCATCCGAAAAACGTACAACATGGATGATCTGGAAGATCAAAGAGCTGAAATATGTCGCTACCTGGGACTGGACATCGAGTCGGAACAGTCAGGGATCATCTTGACTCAGTTGCAACATCTGCGACAGTTCCTTATTGACTCGAATTATGCAGAAGAAATTAGAGAGAGCAGACTGGGGCGATTGGAGATCACAACTGAAGAAGCGAATACGTACTATACGCCCATCAGACAGTGTGGTCTGCCAAGTCTGCTTGACTTAAATCTACTGGGAGTTCCATTGGATACCGTCGACACCACGGGATGGACCCAATTTGAATACCAAGAGATAAAAGAACGACGAGAATACGTGGCGCAGTTTGTGCTACGACACGTGAACCCGGCATTTAAGATGCTGGCAGCGAGAGCAGCGATCGGCTTGGTAGTTGATCCTACCAGCCATGACGCAAGAACGTGGGGTCAGAAGATTTTCGCTGCTCGATTAGCACATTACTCGTCGATCAGCCAATTGAGCTCGGACATGTTGAAGAATAAAGTCCCGCTCGTATTCCGGGATAAAGCTGCCAAAATGGGATCAGCCGCTAAACATCAGGCAACAGCCAAGAAAGCGGATGATGATTTGAAGAGTGTTACGGGCAGACTGGAATACGATAATCTTCGGACGATTTTCGACTCTCATTATCAGGACATGCTCGACCGAATCCGTTATACGATGGACACCCAATATGTGGAACCAAAAGATCATGTCCATAAATACATCAAGGAGCATCTCAGAGGACATCGATCCCAAAATACGGCACCACCTCAAGTCCCTAACGCACCCGGCAGACGAGCTGCCAGGAATCAGCAGATCCGTGATCATTACGAGGATGTCAGACAACGGTTGGCTGAGGATCCTCGAAACCGGGACTTGCAGCTGGAGGAAGATGATGCGCGACACCGGCTTGAGGCGATAAAACGAAGTCGCCAAGGAAAAGGTCGCGGTCCACGTCATGTAGCTGTTCGAGTTGTTCAACCAGAGCAAGCCGCAGGAGTTGCACCGACAGAACCCATAGATCGGACCTCCGACCAAAATCAGCCGAAGTCTACGAAGAAACGTCAGCCGCGAGATGGTGACGACGAAGATGAGTTGAACGAGATGATGGAGTAATATTATCGATCGAAAAGGAGTTGCTACGGCTTAGAGTCGGCTCTCCTAGTCCATCAACTCAGCTCATCTTACAAGTGTGAGAATCAACGGTAATTAGCCGGATCTCTGAACGGAGTAGCTACGGTAAAACTTGCCGGCACTCTGTAATAAGGATGAGATGTGCGACAGATGAACTTTACCAGGGAGGCAAGCTGAAATGAGCTTGAAAGTCGATATCAAAACGACTCAAGTTCCTCCATGACATAGATGGAAGATGAATTATTACGATGTCGCACATCCGAATCATCTCATAGATGATCTCACCAGGGAGGAAGCGAATTTCGCTTGTCTATATGACGTCCCTCCATGACCAATATGGATCTCATCTGACCGAAGTCGTACAGTAGATACGCAATTATCCAAAGATGAAGTAGTATTGATAAGTCGTACGAATGATACGCATCAAATTCCTAAAGCGGATCTCATGTGATGAAGTCGCATCATATGCGCAAGATGCTCAAGCGGAGCGAAGTTGCTCAATGGAGCGGAATTGGACCAAAAAGTTCCTAACGGTGGACAGGATACCTGTGACCAGATGAGTGGAGGATCCTAGTCTACGGATTTTGATTAATACTTCTGTTGATCTGTTATAACTGTTGATATAGTATTTTTGATACAGATCTCTTTATTCACATCGTGGACTTGTCTATGAATAGATTAGATGTGATGAAATGGATTAAAAGAGATGATGTTTTTATTAGCAATTTTTACGAGCACACACAGGCCGTCCGCCAAACGATCGGATTCAACGCGGAGATGGATTCAGCCTCGAACGGAGCTCGGCATCCCTCCCAGAGGCATGTGAGCCATGGCTGTACTCACGTCCACCATCACGCCTGTGGCGTTATGCGGATGACGTGTCAGTGTTGTGTCTCCTCTGATTGGTTGTATGTGCCTTGTGTGGGCGCGCCTATGTGCGCTGCGAAGAGCATTGATTTAGCTCTTCGCTTGGCAGATTTGCCAGTGGTGTTCAGTCAGTGTTGATGTGAGTTGGATTTCACTCAATAAAGTGTACTTATGCTAGTGGATGCCGTGCGTTGCGCATTTATCCAGATTTCGTAGCATATTACATTACGCAGGATCCTGTCAGTGGGGATCACTGTCCTGGACTCATTCTGAGTACCACGTTATATGCCTATAATAAGCCCTATATGGTTATCATTCATTTGCCATAGGCGATGGAGTTCCAGAGACAACGACGGTTTCCTCTCTTTCACAATGAGCCACTGAAGAACGCCGGGACGTCGGCTGACGCTGAGCCTAAGCGGAAAACGCCGTTGAGTGTGGGTGAAAAGTATCTGGCATTGCCGTTGGAAGTGCTGAAGGAGATCTTCCTGTCGCTGGACACCGTCGACCGCGTGCGTTGTCGCCGCACCTGTCATCTATGGGCCAGGCTGCTTGCTGCGGACGACGTGGGCAGTGAGGTGCGTGTGGCGCTCCCGGGCCACCGCGTTCGGGATATCTACGCCCTGTACGCTTGCGTCGCCAAGTCCATCACGCCCGCCACCCGTACCATCTCCCTGCGCGAAAACGGAAGGTACCGCGAAGGAGTGTTCGAAGTGGCCCAGAATCTCCTAAAGGAAGCCGGGATCCGTCTCCACCGTTGCATCGTGCACCGCCGATCCAGCAGCCTCGAGGAGTCGAATGTGGCGCTGTACGCGCTGCCCTCCGAGATGAACGCGGGGCGGAGCGGGCTGCTGCCCTACTGTCAGCGGGTGATCGTCAAGGATTTCGTCTTTACCTTGTTGAAGGACGAACAGACCGTTATGGAGTTGCGCATTCCCTTGGTCGTCTCCAACGGACGGCGGGTCGATGCGCTGGGCGTTGTGGAGCTGTTGGAGTTGGGAGTTGTGGAGTTATAGCAGCACTTGCGCAGCCAGGGACCGCCGGTGGATGCGCAGCGCATCGCCCAGTGCATGCCCAATAGGATGGTCAGTAAAGAGAGAGCAGTGAGAAAGGTGCGCGCATGATATCGTCTCCAGTAACTAATGATGCTTCTCTAAATTCACCGGTTTTTACCACAAGTTCCTGCCGAACCGACTACCAAAAGTATCCTATACGTACCCATTTTTTTGGTATTCCATATAGGTACAAACGTTTACGGAACAAAATTTCCGTTCATTTCGACGTATTTGAAATGGTTCTTCAGTTATTTTAAAAAGTTTTCAGAATTGTAAAAGCTGGATCTTCGTTACGGTGCAATAGTAGCATGTACTAGGCAGTGCTTGCGGAGAAAACAGGGCAGTAAAGAATTGGTCTGGAGGGAGCCGCGACTTTCCTACCGGGCCCGCGCCAGAGTTGCGTGGCGAGAGGAACACTCTTCCTTTGTTTTTCTTCCTATTTTATTCAATGTATTTTCCTAATCTTTGCTAATTTTCCGGATCCGCACAGACTGTCGGGTGCGTGCAGGTTAGCGGTTGTGTAGATTTCGTTGTGCAGGGTGAGGTGTTGAGTTCGCCGCCGTCGTTGTGCTGCTGCAGTGTTTCCTTGTTTGTGGATTAACGTGCTGTTGAATAAATAAGGAATCAGACTATTATCCCGCCCAAGTGACAGCTGCTCGGAGTAACAATATAGATAGTATTACCGCAACAATCAGCAAAATTAGTAAGATCAGTACGAGAAGACACTAAATCTGGAGGAAGAAAAATAAAAGCTAATGGATAAGCATGCCTGGCTCGTGCAGCTTGGGCAACGCCCAGTTTCGGCATGGTTCGCAAACACATCAATTAAGCAAACTAAAATTTCAACGCTCGTTTCCCGTGTATTTGGAATATGACTGTTCAAACAACATATTAAAAGATGCCGGAAATATTTACTAGATTTTTGAAGGACAATGTGAAGTACCTAGGTATCTATCTGGACCGACATTTAAACTGGAAACGTAATAGCGAAAATCTAGCTACCCGCATGAAAAAAAGAATCCGTTACCTAAACGCACTGTTTCCATATCAAAACAGTGCGGCTCGAACGAAGTTGTATGATTCCCTTGTTAAACCGATAGCCGATTATGGCAGTTCCGTAGCTTTCTGTCTACAGAAGTTACTGATTGATCAGTTAGAAGACTGTCAATTTCGATTTTTAAAAAGTATCAGATTCGGCCCTTGCAAGTTTGAGTATGCCGAAACGCTAAAAAAAGCGGGATATAAGTCTCTGTTATTTTGTCGTATTCGTAAATCTCTGCTACTGATGTACAAGACGGTGTTCCGTCTTGTATTTTATGGAGAAAAATTTTTCAAGCTTCGGGAAAAACTTGGCGCTGCCGCTGTTTGTATTGCAGGTAGAACACGCCAAATAACATCCCTTGATGAACATCCCTACGCAGTGGAACCCGTGGACACGTGCACCCCGGACAGACGGAAGTTCATCAGCGAGCGCAGCTTTGCTTATCTGATGGCGCACTTGTGGAACGAAATCAAGCCTGGCTCGTGCAGCTTGGGCAACGCCCAGTTTCGGCATGGTTCGCAAACACATCAAATTAGGCAAACTAAAACTTCAACGCTCGTTTCCTGTGTACTGTTCAAACAACATATTAAAAGATGCCGGAAATATTTGCTAGATTTTGAAGGACAATGAAGTACCTAGGTATCTATCTGGACCGACATTTAAACTGGAAACGTAATAGCGAAAATCTAGCTACCCGCATGAAAAAAAGAATCCGTTACCTAAACGCACTGTTTCCATATCAAAACAGTGCGGCTCGAACGAAGTTGTATGATTTCCTTGTTAAACCGATAGCCGATTATGGCAGTTCCGTAGCTTTCTGTCTACAGAAGTTACTGATTGATCAGTTAGAAGACTGTCAATTTCGATTTTTAAAAAGTATCAGATTCGGCCCTTGCAAGTTTGAGTATGCCGAAACGCTAAAAAAAGCGGGATATAAGTCTCTGTTATTTTGTCGTATTCGTAAATCTCTGCTACTGATGTACAAGACGGTGTTCCGTCTTGTATTTTATGGAGAAAAATTTTTCAAGCTTCGGGAAAAACTTATGCTGCCGCTGTTTGTATTGCAGGTAGAACACGCCAAATAACATCCCTTGATGAACATCCCTACGCAGTGGAACCCGTGGACACGTGCACCCCGGACAGACGGAAGTTCATCAGCGAGCGCAGCTTTGCTTATCTGATGGCGCACTTGTGGAACGAAATCAAGCCTGGCTCGTGCAGCTTGGGCAACGCCCAGTTTCGGCATGGTTCGCAAACACATCAAATTAGGCAAACTAAAACTTCAACGCTCGTTTCCTGTGTACTGTTCAAACAACATATTAAAAGATGCCGGAAATATTTGCTAGATTTTTGAAGGACAATGTGAAGTACCTAGGTATCTATCTGGACCGACATTTAAACTGGAAACGTAATAGCGAAAATCTAGCTACCCGCATGAAAAAAAGAATCCGTTACCTAAACGCACTGTTTCCATATCAAAACAGTGCGGCTCGAACGAAGTTGTATGATTTCCTTGTTAAACCGATAGCCGATTATGGCAGTTCCGTAGCTTTCTGTCTACAGAAGTTACTGATTGATCAGTTAGAAGACTGTCAATTTCGATTTTTAAAAAGTATCAGATTCGGCCCTTGCAAGTTTGAGTATGCCGAAACGCTAAAAAAAGCGGGATATAAGTCTCTGTTATTTTGTCGTATTCGTAAATCTCTGCTACTGATGTACAAGACGGTGTTCCGTCTTGTATTTTATGGAGAAAAATTTTTCAAGCTTCGGGAAAAACTTGGCGCTGCCGCTGTTTGTATTGCAGGTAGACCACGCCAAATAACATCCCTTGATGAACATCCCTACGCAGTGGAACCCGTGGACACGTGCACCCCGGACGGACGGAAGTTTTGTCAGCGAGCGGAGCTTTGGTTATCTGATTGCGCACTTGTGGAACGAAATCAAGCTGCCCCAGGAATCATACAACCGCATCACCAGTTTTGACTCTTGCCTGGATACGGTTGAATGGACGGATTTAAAATGGACTAAGCGTTTCCTTCAACTTCATGTTGATCATCACTGTTTACTGTAAAACTGTTGTTTATGTTTGCGATGTTTTATATGTAAGGCTATCACTGATGTGATAGCCTTTTCTCCCATGTTAGTCTATAACCTCGTGCAGGACATCCCTGATTGTTGTAGACATTAGCGCGAGGGTTAGACAATTATGGACCAACTCACTTTAAAGGCTCTACCATTCTACTGTAAGTAGTTAAAGCGCTATCGCGACTGTTTTCTAACAGCAGGATAATTTTGCTACCGAATGGTGCATCGTGATCAGCACAATACCGGCAGGCTACGCGTAAACAGCAGCCTGTAAACAAAATGCGTATCGTTGAACTGCATTCGAACGCTTCGAAGTTTTGTTACCCCTTAAGCGGATCGATTGCCTAAAAAGGCTTTTCCCAAAAATTGCCCATTACAGCTTCTCGAAAAAAATTTTTATTGATTTTAAAATTGATTTTAAAAATTTTGAAGCGCTATATCTTTTTCCCGTGTTAAGCTACATTTCTCAAACTTCGGCACTTTCGTCTTAGTAGTGAGTCGGCGAAGTCCGCCTGGGCAGGCGACCGGGCGCCGTAAAACGCATTTAATCAAGGGAGCAGACAGAAATTCGTTAGACACACGCTCTGTCTAACTCTGTACTCTTGATTAAAAGCGGTGCCCGTTTTACGGTTTACGGCAGACTTCGCCGAATCACTAGTACACAGCCTGTTATCCTGTACAACATTTCGTTGAATTATGTACAATAGTATTAATGCACTAGCAAAACAAACATAAATTATGAAAATTATAAACAATATGTGACTGACGCTACCACGGAAGCCGAACTGACCGGCTCACATTAGGCTGCGCACGCCAGTAAGAGACAGAGCGTAGGGAAGACACAGCGCTATAGCTCCGATCGGTCAGGACAGTGCAGCTGCGCAACTCAGATCTGTCTCAGGGGATAACACTCGCCTGTCGTGCTAGAGGTCTGAAAATGTTTTGTTTACGTTTGAAGTCAAGAATCCATTGTTTTCGAGCCGGATTTTTTTAGAATGTGGGTTACACATTGTCTAACTGGATACATGCTCCAAAACATTTAATGACTTCTTGTAATTAATTGCCTAACCTTCACCTTAAGCTCATTAAACAAACAAACAACAAGGAGTCTTCAGAAACTTGTAATAGGGTGTTTCACTGTTTACTCATCCTCTTCGTCTTCAGACTCCAAGTCGCTGGACTGCTCCGCGTGCTCACTGTCATATTGGGATGCGTGACCCTCGCCCCAGTCCTGCATGCAGGGCGACAAAGACCACAATGGGTTGAACTTACGGTACATCAGAACCGTAAGTCTGCCGTTATTTTCTCGTTCCAAATGACAAACGCTAGGCACGCTACGCCTCGTACACCCTCGGCACGCCTAATTGTACGGTTGTCAATTCCGCTGTGTACCGTCATAATAAATTATTAATTGCAATTGTAGAAAAAGGCTATTGTGGTCTTGTAATCGGTTTTGGTTGACGTACTAACCGTAACTGGTTGGAAGTGTCAAGTGTTCGATAAAAAACGCTGGTGTTGGGCATAAAAATAACAGAGAACGTATGCACATCAGTATAAAATCAGCCTGCAGCGGTCGCAAAAGCGGCTCCTACGTGCTGCCACGCAGCGAGGAAATTTACGGTAAACGTGTTACCGGAAGACATGTTTCTTCTAGTCGGGTGTTTATTGCACGGCAATGTGTTCACGTCGGCGCGTAGTTTTGAAACAGCAAAACTGACAAGAATTCATCCCTCTGTATTACGTATATCTACAGTATTCAACGATGGAGAGCTTTCAGATCGCCATTTGCAATGCCATTTGCACGTGTTGTCTTTTGTGCCTGTTCACATCGCCATTTGCAACGCCAAAGTGGATCCATATCAGTGGTACGGTTTGCGCACTGTGTTATTAATAATATTTTTGCTTGACGCATAAACGGATTATTTGAAAACGTCGGCTTTTACAAAAGTGTACTGTATTGAAAGCAATATTTCATGTTAAAAAAATGCGGCAGCTGACGAATAATAATAATGATAATAATAAATAATAATGATAATAACATTGCCGCAAAGTATGCTTGTTCACTAATTGTAAATGCATTCCGAAACAACGCCTCCAACTGACTAAGCGCGAGTAAAGTAAGTAATTGGTGACACTTACGGTAACCCGTAATGGGTTACCATTACGGGTTATCGTAACGTAACGCCACGTGACCAAATTTTGCATTTCCCGATTCAAGAAGAAAAAGAGCGATGCCCATTAAATTCACGGGAGAACCCTTTGCGTTCTAGTCTGCATAAACCGAGCCATATGATTGGTTGATAGGCGTTGTTATGTCTGTAGTATAGCCCTGCCGGGCCAAGTTGGGACAGTCATAAAAATTCCTCTTTTTTTACCAATGAAGTCTAAAATTTTTAATTAACTGTTTCATGATAGCTTTTGGTCTGTAGCACCTTTCAGATTTTTATTTCGATGGAAAAAGCTGAAGTACAGGGAACGGGGGCTAATTGTTTAATTTAAGTTTTAGTACAAAAATCGCACTGCTTACTGAGAAAAAATCAAGCTCATTCGAAAATAATTTTAAAATTGGAGAAGGTTTGGAACCATCAACTAACAGCGTGGTTTTCTAACGGTCCCTTCCCACACTTCATCTAAACACTAACGTTCTGCCTAATGCGATCCGGGCTCCAGGCAACCGCATTTCTAAGTTGGTACTCTTTAACATACAAGTCTATGGAAGATCCACCTTCCTTCGAGGTGATCTCGAGCACTGATCGCGCCAGAATTTTCTGGTGACCTATAAAAGACACCTCATGGGTCACGCAATAGTTCTAGAAAACGTACACGCAGAAATATCAATTGGTGCATTTCTTACAGCTGCAGTTATAAAAAAAAAAATAAGAGGTCGAAAAATGACCACCACCCCGCCCTCTTAGTCGCCCCCTGGGTTCTTACTACCGTGTCGAACGACAACAGCTTTAACACTACTGGATTCGCAACAAAAAGTTACGCTAGGAGAGTTCAAATATAGAAACAAAGTGCCTTCTGGGAATTTATTTGAATTTACTTTACGCAACTGTCCCAACTTGGCCCGGCACCCCTGTAGTTAAGTATATATTTTAAAATGGGGTGTGGCGTAATGATAGTAATGATAGTAATGCGTAATGATAGTAATACTCCTGTAAATAACTTTCTTCAAAATATCGCAAATTCAAAAACCAATAAGCGAAGTTATAAATAAATCTTGTGGGGAGATGTATATTCTCTGTTTTTCAGAATCATGAACATTTCTAACAGACCGACTTTTCTCTCTCGCAGTTTGTTCTAACAGTGGAGTCTTGAAGACTAAGGGAAACTGAAACGAGAACCCTGAAAGTGTCAACTTCCACTGGTTACCGCCATTACGGCTCGGTGTTGCGCTTTATAATAGAGGAGGTTACATTCAGCTGGCACCATAAAAAAGCCTGGTGACCTTTACTCGGATAGATTCCCAAAAATTGGAAACCGCTGTTGTAGTTATTATTACTAGCTTTACCACTGTTACCAAGTGTTACCGTCGTTACCGTGCATTACCTCGTTTCAACGCACGAAGCAAAACAGCTACACTAGTCTGACAGTCCACTAATACGAAAAAGCTTGACAAGTTATAATTAAAATAAAATAAATTTTTGATAAGAGTCTGAATTGCAAGTTAAAGATTAACACTTTGCCCTCTTTACGGAGATAAACTCTTCTGGACATCAGTGCGAACGGTCTTTAGTATCACAGACATCGGTATTCACCAAAGGTCAAATTACGGGGCCTCGCTCTTATGAGGCTAATAGGTGCTATTTATAAGTAATATTTTGGTTTTACCACATTATTGTTGACATGCTGAACTGGCCAGTAATTTTGTCTCATGCAACATAATTTTGTGCTATTTAGATGCTGGGGAACATGGGGGAGGGGGTGGCGAAGGCTTCAGGGGCGTTGGAGACTTATGGAATCGAGACGAACAAGTATATCAGGGAGAGCTGACGGCACAGAACAACACAGAACAGTACAGCACAGAGCGCCCACTGCAGTCGCCAAAAATGACATTTATAGCAAGCCGGGGTGCCTTTGTACCCACCGGAGGCGCTCGCCAACATGTGCTTCACTTGTCAAACACTTCGTCGGCTCCCGCGCAAATCTCCTTCCCACCCCACATCACCCGTACCACAAAACAAGCCACGGTTGGGGCGGTACGGCAACCGAATGATACCAAAAACCCCGCTGGTGAGGATGAAGATGCCACCGCCTCATCGAGAACTGTCACAACCGCCCTATCGAAAAAGGTTGCAATTTCCGCTCATGCTGATGAAGATAAAGGGGATAACTCCGCCCTAGCGAGAACTTGTGCAACCGTCGTATCAGGAACTGCTACAACTGTCGCTGATGTTAATGATGATGATGAGGATTATATTAAGATGATGATGAGCATTGAGCACCGCCTCATCGAGAACTGTTACAACCGCCCTATCGAAAAATGATGATGATGAGGATTATATTAAGATGATGATGAGCACTGAGCACCGCCTCATCGAGAACTGTTACAACCGCCCTATCGAAAAATGTTACAAAAAAGGGAAAACAATATAAGCGGGGTCCCCTTCTCCTCGACGGAAACGATCGCCACCAAGTGTTTCGGTTGTCAAACGTATTGTCTGCTCCCGCGCAATTCTTCTTCCGGCGCCAAATCACGCGGACCACAATACAAGGCGCGGTTGTGGCGCCACATCAACCGAATGCTACCAAAACTACCGCTGGGGATGATTGAGGTTACCCCCGCCCCATCGAGAACTGTTACAACTGCCGCTGATGACGATGATTATGATGAGTATAGCACGGCCTCATCCAGAACTGTTACAACTACGGAAGATTTTGAGACGCGTCGGAAAGAACTCTTTGGATTTTAATATGTTTCTTATACTCTAAAACTTTTCAGAACTTCAACGCTAACAACCAAGAAGCACATCGAATAGTCATAAAGCAATGCATGACCTGCCATGACCCGCACCCAGACAAATGGGAATGTAACAGTTCCCCTCACTGAGCTTAGGTAATTACAGCGTACACTGTACAATACATTTGCCTGAACTTCCGCGTTAAAAAGTACGACGTATTTTTGCGGAGTTGCCGCTTTCATCTATCATTCGCTATACATTAGCCGGAAATAGCAGTTTCTGATATGTTTTACAACATTCTTCTGCCAAATAATTTTAAATTGTAATATTTCGACTTAAAAACAGTTTCGCAAGCAACATTTGTTCGCTAAAATATTATTGTGCATCAACTGGCAGGATTTCATTCATTTATTCAGCACACTCGTTGAACCCCACGCGAATTGCGCGGATTAAATAATTAAAGTTAAGTTTTTTCTTACGTTTACTCTGCTAATACTGGCTGGATCGACCTATCAACTTACAGCTGTTCTGTTGTAACTTGTAACCCGGTTTTAAAACCGTCTATTATTACATTAAAACTACTCCTGTACCATATGCGTTTTATTACCGGCGCTATTTGATTTTTAACCTTTAAACTGTCATTCACTTCACTACTTTGTGGTTCGGATAATGAGAATCTCGAAATAATTAAAGTGGAGCTAATTTACAACTTACGCTGACTTTGGAGTGGTTGTTTTTGCTGTAGGCTTTTAAAGTTGCTTACTTGCTTACACTTCGGTTTAAGCTGTTACCACGTAAATCCAAAATTTCAGACCCATATACAGTAACTCGATTGCTGCTGCGCGCCTTCAGCTCCGCCTCATCGTAGCAAAAGTCTGCTTATTATCCGATCTTCTTGAAAAATTGCTGTTGCTTGTTGGATTTATGCATCCAAACACATACACTTTTTGAAGTACTGTGAAAGTTTTTGCAGTTTTACTTATAAGCAGAAATTCTATAATACATTAACACATACCGGCGATGCCGCAAAATGACGGTATTACAGTAAAAGCAGGCAGATGGATAAACACCAAACATTATTGCCTTGAGGTACAGCGTGTTCCGCGTCAGTAATCTGGTTCGCTGCAATGGAGTGAGCTACGCCATTGCTTAGAAGAATCGACTGAAACGAGCAATCAAGAATATAGCACTGTGTTCAAGACGGTTTCAACAACTTGATGCACAGCTGCTAACAGAATGCATATTGCTAGTTTGCAGCGTTCGTTGTGATTGGTATTTAACAATGTGCTGGCCCATCGTTGCCGGTTTCCGGGTTTTGAACTTACAACCGGTGCAGTACAGAAAATCCCCGGCAGCGAAGAGCCGGGCGTGCTCCGCGTCGGCCAAATGTAGCAGGAAGGCGGCCTCGTCCTCGCAGGAGAAGCGACAAATGCGACACTGATATCTGGCGCCATCACCGCTATTCACCACCGCATTCGCAGGCGGAAGTGATCCCGTCTCGCAGGTCGTTCCCGTGCATGGGGTGGGCACAGAACTGGAATTGGGAACTAGTGGAATTTCGCTGGAAGGAAGTGGTAATGTTATAGTGCCGGTATTAGCGCCCATCTCCGGAATATCCTCGGATGTGTGAATCGTTGGGTGGTGGTCGTTACTGGAGATCGACTCAGGCCGAGACGCAGCAACGATCGGGGCAGCGATATCTGGATCGGCGGCTGAATCCGGCCTTGGCTGCCCGGCGTGGGCGGGATTATCTTCCAGCCGACAGGAAGCGTTCACAGGTGTAGAAAGGTCACAAAAACCCGAAGACTCAGTCTGCAAACGCAAACAAGAAGCATATTCAAAATAAGAATAAAAATTTAATTATAGCGTAACAGTGCCACGAAGAGCGCAGCTGACGACAACACCAAAGCAGCTGCGACTTTCGAGTATCTCGGTACAACAGACGCTCTACTGACGAGTGACGGACGACTCTTTGCTAATAGCATCAGACGAAAAGATTTACCCACTAAATTGTGCGCACAAATCATGTTATACACCCAGCCCTTCGTTTTACACCAACCTTGAAGGAGAAGTTGCTGCTCAGAGTTTAGTCAGTCTGACTGTGTTACTGAGTATATAAGGAAATCTGTTACAACCGTTAACGAAGTAGAATTACTCTCCATTAAAGCATAACTACCAAAACCAGTTTAATTCTATCAATACTGCGCTACTTACGTTGATTAGCTGGTCCATCGGAGGCATTTCCTCGTGGTGGCTGCCCAGCCCTGTGTCACTTCCACCGCCATCTCCAGTGGATATGGCGTCGGACGGGGAACAAGCAACGAGATTCACTGCTTCATGCGAACATCCCTGTTGAGGCAGTTCTCCAAGGAGGGACTGAATTTCCCCGTGTCCGCTTTCCCTGTCTGCACCCGTATCCGGCTCTTGACTGCTGGGTTCGGGTAAAGCCGTCAGCGTATTACTTATCAGTGTGCTGGGCGATTCGCAGTGAGGCTCTGGACTGGTTTCACTCTCAGCGTTAGCAGGAGACCGCGGCCTTCCGGTTACGTTCGTACTGTGGTGGTTGAGCGCCGCATCGATGTGTTGTCCGCTTCCGGTGTCCGCTGAATCGCCTTCGGTGGAGGTCAAGCCACGCAGACGTCCACAACGAACAATGACTGAAACGCGGCCGGACACAACGGAATCAAATTCCCGGGATGCTGAAGAATTCAGAGGTAACGAAATTCCACGGTTGATTGCCGGTTGTTCTGCTTCACCGCGCTGCAGCGTATCTTCCTGCCCGTCGTCAATGCACAGAATTCCTCCAGTTTCCGCTGATAGATTTTCTGACCCCGGAGAAAGCGTCCCAGCATTACAGCTACCGTTCGGCGATGGACTGGAGAGCCTCTCTTCGACTTCGGCGCTTGTTGCCGGCTCGCTTTCTGATCTGAAATCCGGTGGCTGGCACTCTTCATTCTGCATTGGCTCCGGTCCGGGCGATGTTTGGCACGGTGCCGCAATAACTGGATCCGCGTCCGAACCCGTTCGGTGCTGGTCGGCATCAGCATCCTCCGCTTCCACGTGGTATAATGGGTTTGCCGGTGTAATGGCAGATGTGTCAGGGTCACGTGCTGCAGTCGCAGCCTGAGCCTAAGAAATTGTAAGAATGCAAAGTTTCGGTAATAGTGTGAACAAATCGGAATACATATTTTGAATTACGTAAAGCAATTAGCAAAGTACGTTTAAATTAAGCAGCAAATACTTAGCAAGAAGTAAAATCTCGAAACTAATCGAATTCCACTTTTCTGACATAGAATTTCACGAGAAAACTGGATTTGCAGTTGGTTTTGAAAAAAAATTGTTTTGGACCCGAAAAAATTGTGCCTGCGATTTTTGCCGGTATAAGACTTAGGCACAATTTTGGCTCCACACGATAAAATCGCCATAAAATTAGAAATTTAAACTATATAATACAGTATGTAATATGGCTAAAGCTATAAATTTTTCATCGACCTGAAAAAGTTCCCCAATGGACTAACTTACAGCAGGCAGCCGGTTACTCGGGGAGATTTCACTGCACGTGTTGTCCGGTCGTTCGTCATCACGCGAGGCCGTGGCTGCAGACCGGAAGCAGGCCTCGATGCGCCGCGTAATCGCTTCATAGGGGCATCCCTGTTGGCGCAGTTTCCGCACGACGGCCTGCAGTGCCCGGAACGGACTGTTGCTCCCGTCCGTACGCGTTTCCTGCTCCGGCAAAATCTGGTTCGACACGGTGATGGGTGTATTATTGGTTGGCTCGGAATGTGTCTCGATACACTGAATTTCTGGAGAGCTGTCACATGGTTGGAGCACTCGGCTGCCCGCTGTGCTGGTAGGCTGGTCGTTGCTTGCAGCAGCGACATGCTGTTGGCTTATCGCGTCTAATGAGCATTCGTTAGTGGGCGGGGTGCGTTCACAGGGGAGAGTTGGTATATCTTCATCGAGAGGCGCGGATAGCTGCTGCGGGTACTCGACATTTGGTGCCATGGGTGATGGATTAACCGTAACGGCATCATTGATATGCTGTCGTGGTGGAGCGATATTACTCCCTTCGTCAGAGGGCGACAGGAGGCGATCGGTGTCCGCTGTACTTTCTGTAGGGAGACATGTACATGGTTAACGTATTATTTAGTTAACCAGGATAAAAGGCTAACTACTAACTTCAACAATTTACAGGCGCAAGTTCGAGTGTTGATTTTTTCAGTTCATAATTACAGTTCTACAGGTATCTACACTCGGTAAAATGCTTTTCGAACTCAGGAGAAACGGTCTACTCAGTTTCGGAAGCAGAGAATTAGTGTTGCTTTAAGGCGAAGTTATGCTGCTTGTGTTCAGGAAACGTTTTGTATCGGTAAGAGACTGGATGAAGTGCATTATGTGTTGAATGATGAAATGCGTAATTTTGCGTTTAACCTACTCTGTATGCTAATGTGAATAACCCAACAAAACTAACATGCAGTACTACAGAGTACTACAAGTACATAAAGACGGTCAATTGATTTTGTTACTGTAACAGCATCTCATTTATTCACGTACCAGCCTGGTTTTCTCTTAAATCCGGATCCAGTACTGCCGGTGAGATTTCCTGCGGAGTTATTGTTGCTGCTTCGCCTTCGCTGTTACCGGCAGTTGCGTTAATATTGGGTGCGGCTGTTGTGACGCGATCATGCGAAGAGGAAGGTTTTAAACCAGGACAATCGGTTCGCCCGTGTTGACTGCCTGGATCGCCAGGATGCATGGCCTTCAGTCGAGCTGACCTTCGGAATACATGAGCAACATCGTTAGCGTCGTCTTCATTAGCCGGCGCTGCCTGAACCAGCTGATCGCCCTCATCATCATCATCATCATCACTGGCCGTTTTCAGCATTTTCCCTGCAGTGTCCAGGCCGATTTTCAGCCGTTTCACGATGGCCCGCAAGGACAATCCCTCGGCACGCAGTTGCCGCGCAGCCGTTCGCTTCTGCTGGTAATTCTGATGCCGGCGCTCCCGGAAACTGTTCTCATTCTGCCGCAACAACGCTTCCAGAATGCTTTCCGACAGGTTGAATTTCTCTGCAATGTCCGCTTTAGTGTCGCCCTTTTCAAAACAGCTGAGTATTTCTTTCTTCTGCTTCTGGCTGATTGGCAGTTTATCCCGCGCGGCAAAACTCTGTCCGACACTCTTCAGTACGGCATCCACCGCCTCCGCCTCCACGCCGACCTCCCGCATAATCTCCGTTCGGGAAGATCCGCCATCGAACAAACGGAGGATGCGTTTCTTCTGCTCGGCAGTGACGCCGAGCATTCGCCGCATTTTTCCCACCACCGTCCCGCACATTTTCAGCCGCCTCCCGATTTCTGCGTCACTCAACTTTCCCTGGCGTATCAACTCTTTGACCTGTGTTGTCTGCTCCGGTGTCTGCTTGCGGCGAATGGCTAATTTTTTCTTCTTGAGAATATGCTTCACCGTACTCACTTTTACACCCTCGCGTTCCGCGATCTCCTGCCGGGTGCAGCCGGCGTTGCGTAGTTCGCAGACCCGTTGCATTTTTTCCTCCGCTATTTGTCCGACCTTTAACTTTTTTACTAAGGTCACCGCTTTATCGGCTGGCTTTTCCTTATTAACTGCTTCGACGCTCTTTTCGGAGTTTTCGGAAGAAGAAGAATGAGCGTCTTCACTAGAGCTGGTATCATCGTTAGAATAACCGGAATACCTGCGATCATTCCCAGGATTTCCGCTTTGCTTGGCACTCAAGCGAGCCGATCTTCGACGTCCACGTTCGACGTTCCCATGTTGCGCAGCAGTCTCGGCGTTGGCTAGCAGACGCTCCTCCGGCGAAATCAATTCCTGGCTGGTCATTTGCACTATCTGGCTTAAACGCTTCCTGCTGATTTTCAGCTGTTTCGCTATTTCTTCCCAAGCTAGTCCCTGTTTAGCCAGTTTCAACGCGGTATCTCGCCGCTGCTGATAACTTTGCCGGCACCGTTCCCGGTAGCTGTTTTCGTTTTGCCGCAATAACGCTTCCAGAGTGGCTTCCGAGAGACAAAACTTTTGCAGAATGCGTTGCCTACTGTGACCTTTTTCAATGCAGGCAAATATTTGTCTCTTCTGCTTTTGGCTGATCGGAAGCTTATCGCGTGCAACAAAACTTTGCCCGTATTTTTTAACGACAATGTCGACGGCATCACCGCTTACGTCCACCTCGCGCATGATATCCGTTCGGGAAGAGCCGCGACGGAACAACTGCATGATGGTTTTGCTCTGCTCTTCCGTGATGCCCATCATACGCCGCATTTCTCCCACGACCGACTCGGAGATGTTGCACTGCCTGGCAATTTGTGAATCGCTAAACTTTTCTTGGCGTAGCAGTTGCATGATTTTCTCTTTCTCCTCCGCCGTTCGTTTCGTGCGAATAAGGATCTTCTCTTTATAGAGGTAATGCACGACTTGGTGCCACGTGAGGCCCAGGCGATCCGCGATTTCCTGCCGGGTGTGGCCGGCCGTGCGCAGTTCGCGGATCCGCCGTTTTTTTTCCTCATCCATTCGTTCGTTGTTTGGTGACTTTTCCATGCTTTAACTGGTTTTCAGTACCGCTGCCGATGGTTACCCTAATAAATACAGCAATCAGTGGAAGTTAACAGACAATCTGGAAGTGCAACAATAGTGGAATGATGCCTATTGCTACACGTATAAGTACGCCTTTCTTTAAAATTATTGTATATAAATTATTTCTAAAATTTTTAAGAGATTGCTCGAAACACGATTCGTGTCGTGTTTTACCTTTTAGAGTTTTAGTCCTTATGTTCCAAAGATCAGTTATTGATATCTGTATTCTACCAACAGGCGAATTTGACTCGCTTGGACAAAAAGGGCACTGAGAAACATGGAACCCGAAAGGCGGTGAACTTTTTTTGTGTAAAATTCATTTTGCTGCAAAAATGGCTAAAAGTTTAGCAAAAATAGCAAAAAATTTTTGCTATTTTTGCTAAACTTTTAGCCATTTTTGCCAAAAAATAATCTGTTTTTTTGCAGCGAAAGCCTGCGGCCATTAGTAAGTCCGTATCATACAGACAGCGTACAAAAACTGTAAACCTTCGCGCGAAACTAACGCACGTTTTTAGTGTGTTCAAACAAGCTCCACAATAAGCACCACTTTTCACCGATAATTCATTTTGGTTATACATCTATAAGCATTAATTTTCAACGTTAGCGTTTTCCACGCATAATTGTATCGCAGCAGACGTCGCACACACGACATATGTATGTATTTTTTAAATATTTCTTGTATGTTAATAAATACGTACCTTATAAAGCGGAGTCCTTTCCGTTAAAAACATATACGATAGGCTTTGTTTAATTAGACCAATACTTTCACCAAAAGGCCAGGAAGTATGCATCAGAATGCACAGACAAAAATTAAAAAAAGACCATGATTACAGAAAAACTGGCCTAATTTAGATTTTTCAAAATCAGTAGAACATTTCAAGCAAAATCACTTGAGACCGCATTCCGTGACAAATCGGTGTTTACACAACAAAAACGCATCGTGGTTTCTATAGCATGCAGGTGCGTTTCCAGATAGCTGCGACGTTATCGTAGACGTCCAACAGTGCAGTACGCCTTATCATTTATATCGCTATCTTCGGCAAATACGAACACGAATACGAACATTTATTTGTACTGCTATTCGAACGAGCGCAATCAGAAATAAAATAACTATTAAATACAGTGCGCTTATCAATTGTGTATCTTTCGATTTATTCGCGAGAACATTAAACACCGAAGTATTAGAAATCTAGCTGCAAGAAAAATCCAAAAAGTTTAAATCCATTCAGGTTTCAGGTTTTTCATGAAAACGTATATATGCATGAATATACAGATAGTTTTTCCACCGAATCACGGTCACCAGGAAGTTCAGTGACGCAGTCCATAGACTGATCTTCTTTAAATTTGTTTTGCACATGCACGTAAACAAGAAAATCGTTTTTACACCAAACCAGCCATTTTTTCAAATTCTAAAAGGATTTCGAAAATTTTAATATTTATTAATTTTAAAATGTTGAAAAATACTAGAATGGGGAAAAAATGACACTTTTGGTATACCGGAATGCATTTAAACTTTTTGGAATTTTTCTGGTGGCCATAACTCCCGAATGAGCCGAAGCGAATGACGCACACACCGAACAGTTTTTACGCCTACGTAAACAAATCATCTGGATATAGAATGTCATAAAAGAAGTTGAGGTGGTCGACAATCGACATTGAGAAAACCTACAGTTTATTCGCAGCTCTGCGGGCCTTCAGCAGATGGTAGCCCACACGCAATAACTTGTAAAACTCCACTTTTTATACAAATTTTATTTTTACAAAATTTTATAAAAATACCACGCTGCCATCGGCTGATTGCAGATCTCCAGTTCTTAACGGGAAAAAACGTTTCACAATAACGTAGTTTATACCCGGCGTAGCGTACCGTTTCCCGTGGCTGCCCGTTGCGACGGTCTTATCGCATAGTTTCCATGAGAACCTCTCGAGCTTCGTTGATTTCTGACGAACAAAGCGTGTGATCCAACATAAGTGAAGCGAAGATAAAATCGGACGCGCCGTGCATCAAGTATGTGATTATCTCCAGATTCCAGAAGATAAAGTGCTGCTACATAGTGCATCGACATCACCCGTATATTCGTTAATATTATGCGTTTTTGCGGTTATCCGGGCAAAACATTGGTTAATTTCGTTACTACCGTAAAGCTGTAACCTCCAAATAGACAAAAGAGAGAACAATTTCAACTGCATCACCATAAGCGCACAGGAGACCGTCAGTGTACACGTGTAAAAATCCCTCTAAGGCTGCATTCGCTGCCACTATATCCCACATTCCAGATAATATATTTATATCTGTATTGCCAGTGGTATCCCCATCGCTGCCACTATATCCCCTCATGCAGACTTCACTTCCCATAGCAGTGATGAGACCGACATACATATTTCAGCATGGGCGTGCAAGATGAGGCAGTCCTGCCGCGCCGGCCTGCGTCTCTGCGGATTGCGGTTGCTTCGGCCGCTCATACAGACCGAGTGGTGATCCACTGCGCACACAGACAGCGACTGCACCCGCGCTGATATTCGGCCAGCTTCACTTATGTTTCTGCAGTGCCGTTTCACCAGTTTCTTATTTTGGCGGGCTTAGGAAAAACCTGCCCTTTTCGCTGTAAGGAAATACAGTACTTTAATCAGCGTATCACGTAGTAGTTCAAGTAACGATTTTTTTATTTACTGCGCTGTGAAAATAAAGACAGCATTAAAAATTTGCCGTGGACTGCGGTCCATGTCAAAATTTGAACACGAATAGCAAACATATACATACAGTTTGTAGTTCACTAATACAATGGACTTCATAAATGTGGTTACACTTAAAACCGATAGCGCTATGCATACGGGTGGCTATGTGTAACCACATTTATGAAGTCCACTGTAAGTACAAAATAAGTAAAAATGGAAAAGTAATAATAATAGCAGTTTTCTGACTCACTGGCTATAGTTACAGAGAAAACGCCCGTTGGCTCCTGTATTCACAGCAACTGAGCGGAGGCTAACGGAACCTTTGGTCGTAAAAGAGGGCTACTAGATCATGGCTATGGTGTGACCCATTTAAGGAAAATGGCCCGGTACATAGTTTTGCTTTCGCGCACTCCGAATCATTTTTTTTGTAATACTTTATGTCATTCTATAATCTAAACTAAACGATTTGTACACACTGTTGTGAAAAAGGTTGGGTGCGCAACATCCGGTTGCCGGATATGGCGCACTAAAATGGGCGAAAAGGTTAAATGCATTGTTGTGTACATGAAGACGTTTCATGTCTTCCATAGAAAAATTGGCATGGAGAAATGAAGGCTGGACACACCTGGGGCAGCAAAAACCAGTTCCGTGGCGAGTCGGCTTGGCCCCATCGCGGAAAACAAGAATCTACTCGGTAGACGGCAGCAGGCACTGACACAGACCTTTTTTGCTGGCTTGGCTCCTCCAGACTAACGTAAGCCAGAACGTGCCCTGAAATAACCACGCCCACAATCCCAAAGTGCCCGACGTCACCTCTAGCCATCTGCGCGTAGTGTGATTAGATAATTTAGATTCACTGGATAATTAGAAATTCGCTCTCGCAGCTAGCGCTTCCTCGTGCAAACGCAACAAAAGTTCCTGAATTTACAGCCCAACGCGTGCCAATCTTAGTAAGCCCGATCGGCGCTCACTAAACCAAAGTACTGCTAGTTTTCTTCAGAACCTTTGCCTTACATACACCAGTCGAGTCCTCTACGACCTGCCTGCGTTCGCTATGAGATTCGTTTTTGATGACGTGTCTGTCCCGCTGCAGCATGCATGGCCTGATGCAGCTTATGCGCGGTGGTGCTCGTCTGCAGCGACGTGATGCAGGCGAGACTGAGATACGGCACGCGAACCAAGGAGGCCATTTCCATGGCGGCAGACATTCGCCGGTCAACGTTTACAGTCCAGCCAGCGGTGAAGTGCCTCCGCCACCATATCCTCGCTGTCCACTTGTAGACCGTCCGCGTCGAGCAGCTCTAACACCTGCCGGAAATGTGTTCGCTACTCAGTTTCCATAAATCAACAAAACCTGCTTTTAAAGTACGAGTAAGCATTATTGTTAGAAACTATATTGGCATTACTCATTGTAAATATGCAACCTAATATCTGATCGTATGCAGTTATGCACCCAGCACACCGATCGTTAACCAATGATACATATAAGTGATATAACTACCTAAGTCCTGTGTCAGTGAGTGTGTTTACCGTACCCTTTGTCACAGGCTGTGTGTTACTTAAAGCCGTGTCACTAGCATGTTTTCTTTGAACATCATGTATCAGTCTAATGGACAATACGACGGGAAGTGTGTTGGTTCGTTATAGGACACTTATAGTCAGTACAGTATCCAATACATTTTATCAATTATTCTACAAGCGTTTCGTACTTGGCTTTTATCCAATTCCAAAAAGTCCGCCGACTGCGAATACCGGTAAAATGTTTGATGCAGAGGAGCTTGGCTTTCTCAGCGAGATCACGCTGCGACAACAGTCCCGCCCAGTATAAGATCACAGCAGTTGCTGGGAATCGAGATGCGACTGTACGATGCCCAACCATGTCCAGGAATGCCCGGCATGTCCAGAATTCCGGCCGCTTGCAGAAGCGGGATAGCGTTGTCTCCATCGACAGCAATCTCAGACGAATGGATGTGATGAAGGAGTCTGCAAGGCATACGTTGCTTATAAAACTGCAGACCGCAGTGTTAAGGTCATGGCTATAATCGCGAACTAAACTGTTTTTCCTTTGAATATTCTTTGAATATTGAATATTCTAATGTATTGTCAGAAGGAAGGACTAACACCCCCTTCCAAATACAGATAAATCTGGGTGTGAGAGAACACGGGTCTCCCACAAAAGAAGAGTTTATTGCCCAAATAGGGAAAAATACAGAAAAAGGGGGAAAATGGAAGCAATAAACTGAGCGTTTCCATAGGAAATGCACGAAATCTATACCAGCAGCCGCCAAGGGCGGCTGCTCAATACATCAAGCAGACAGCGTGACAGTATTAATGACAAACGCCTTACTAGACCTGGGCAGGTATGGAAAATGCACCCACCGTTAGAGTTACGAGCTACAGGGAGCGTGCCAGTTACGCCACGAGTTACGCTATTCATGCAAGTAAAACCGAGTTTTGAGATATACCGCGACTTACGCTACCATAGACAATATATACAAGTTTTAGGCGAGTTACGTTAGAGAATCAAGTTTTTTAAGGTAGCGAGTTACGCTTCAGAGTTACGTTAAAACTCGCTAACTCGCAAATAACTCGCGTTATGTTATCGAGTTAAGTTAAAACTGCCCAGGCCTGCGCCTTTCAGCATCGGTAAGCGATTCCTAAGACTTACAGAGTGAGGATGCCGTGGGGAATATTGTGCAGCTGAATGAATCTGTCGCGGGATTCCTTCATAGGCGATGCGAACATGGAGCGGAAATACGGGCTGTTGGCGCTGAGGATAGAGCGGTGGCAGGGAATCCATGCGGACGCCGTCTCCGTACCTTTAACGTATGCGTCAGGCAGACCCGGAGAATCGGACATGATCATTTCCCCAAAAAATGTGAAGCCATGTACCAGTTGAAAATACCTAAGTTTTCTATGAAACGGGTGGACTTGGAAATACACACGAGTATCTGCGATAAGAACAAACGTTTCTTATTCCCCCAAGCCGATTGATTATTTGCATACGCAGTTGAACATGCTCCTATAATGCAGTACTTCACGAATGTTTTTTTTCTTCAAAATCTGTACGATCGCGATTCGAGTGTAAAGTATACTGTTACGAGAAGCTTAATAGCTTTGCGTAAACAAATCGACCGGCGTACAGATTGTACGAGCTCGTACATCGAGCAAGCGACACTCAGAAGCAGCACAGCTGCTGGCATTTCTTGCTAATGTTGTCAGCGCGCTAATGACTTACAGAGACGCGCTAATGACGCGCTAATGACTCTGTACCTGGTGTTTTCTCGTTTTCTAGTAAGATAGGTGAATCACAGCACATCAAAACTAACAAATTCCAAGTGTACTCTGTACAAATAGCAATTGCCGCTACAGCGGCAAGTGTGCACTGATTATGGCAAAGAGTGTTGTTGCACAACTTGTGTTCAGTAAGATTTTTTAAAGACACCACTTCACTTGTGTTCAATAAAAAATTTTTTAGCATGCATTGTAAGAATCGGCGCTGTTGTATTAAGGCTTTGTAACCATTGTCGCACCTCTTACGTACTGTAAATACAGAGTTTCCTTACCACTATTGGTTAGTATTGATAAAGGAACGTGGTTAGTAGTGGTTAGTATTGATAAAGGAACGTTTCTCCTACATTATACGCCACGGAGAAAATTGTCGAATCCCATTAATGATCTTTGTTGTACACGGTCATGATAAAATATTACGCCGCTGCCGTGGTGCCGCAGTTTCTGCTCAGACGATGGGATGCTAACGGATCGAAAAGGGCAACGAGCACGCTTCCACCGAAATCAGGAATGCTGATTGGATGTAGCCGACGGCCTCCGGTTTTCTGCCAGGTTATACTGACGCTTCGTCATTTTTTGCGCCACTGCTGCTAGTTTGTAAAAGATAGCGATAACACTGCTATTAGGTACTTGGTGAGGCCGCTATGTGACCTTGTTTATTAAAAATATACGGTTCAGTAATCAACAAAATACAGCGGTTGCGTACTTTTGGGCGCTAATGCATTTCGTCCCACTGCGCAGTGCGCACCCAAATCCAAAACACCTAATTTGCACGGACTCCACGGCCTGTATCGAGCAGGGAAAATAAAGCGAAACATGTTGGGAAAAACGACAAAAACGCAAGAGTAGCTTTAACAGCTTCGGGCAACATAAGCAGCGTCCTGCGCGCGAAGACAACAGATCGGTTTACATGGTTAATATTATCAACGTATTAGCAGTCGTCAAATTATGGCGCCATTTACTTAGCAGAATCGCTGGATACTTTGTCGCCATTACACCAGTCCTTCATGCAGTTCCATAAGGCGCACAGGCAGAAGCGATTCAGCTTGCTGACATCCACGCTGGCCATATTGTACAAGCACCATCGCTGTTCCCGATAATGCGCCGAGGGACGCGGATCGCCGGCTTGGTAGGCTTCCAGGATCTGCAGAATTATCATAGAATTACCGAAATACATTAAATTAGCATGTACTAGTAAACGCTGTTAACGCTTGAACTGTAATAACTAAACCACCGTGCCGGGAGGAAAATTGCGTTCCCGACCGACACTACATTCTAAGTACTTACTTCAGGCTGCCCTATTTTCTGCGGACGCAATAACTGCGTCCTATATCATTTCGTCAGAAAGAACTACGCTGAAGAAACGGTCTTCTGTGAATCAACCAAATGAAGGCATAATATAAATATGAATAATGAGTGATATACAGATATGCAGAGTAGGTTATTCTTACACCAAACCGAAGATTCAGTGTTTTTCAGATCTACATGTTTTAAAACAACTTTAACAGAACTATCTTAAAAATTAATCGTCGTATTATTTAACTTTGATTCGAGAAACTCGAAGAAAATCTGACATAATGCCACTTTGGGTAATCGGATGGTTTTACAAAACCTGTGAATTTCCATTTCTTCATCATAAACTATTTGTGAGAAACAGGCAAGACGATGCGACGCCCCTAGTACCTTTTTCACTAATATGGCTTTCTCTTCACTGACAATCACATTGGCCAAACACTGAGCGATGCGCTGCACATCCAACGGCGGTCTCTGACTGCGCAAATGCTTCTCCAACAACTCCACAACTTCCACCTTACCGACCTGCTGCCCGGTGAAGACCGCAAGGGGAACGCGGCACTGCAGAACGGTCGACCGATCCTTCACCACGCTAAGGAGGAAATCCTTGACAATCACCCGCTCACAGCACCACACTAGCCAGGGCTGCAGCGGGCCCGCGGTCATCGTGGCGGCCATGACGTCCAGTGCCGATGGCTTCAGTTCGTGCTCACGGAGGCTGGTCGCTCGGCCGTGCGAGATAAAGCGGTGGAGGCGGATGCCGGTGCGCTCCAAGAGGTACGCCGTATAGAAGAAGACCGTTTCTGCCGACGTGCCGTTTTCGCGCAGACTGATGGTGCGGGTGGCGGGCGTGATGTGCTTGGCGATACAGGCGTACAGGAAGTGTCCATCCCAGGGGCTTTCATGCGGCCGCCCTGTCCGCACCTCGCTGCACACGTCCGCCGCGGTGAGAAGGGCGTCCCACAGGTGACAGGTGCGGCGGCAACGATCGCGGTCAATGGTGTCCAGTGAAAGAAATACTTCCTTCAGCACTTCCAACGGCAACGACAGGTAGTTTCCACTTTCTACGACACTTGACGGCGTCTTCCGCTTGGGCTCACCGTCCGCCGACGTTTCGGCTTGCTTGAGGCGTTCATTGTAAGAGAGAGCATCCGGCATGTTTTCTTGCAACGCGATCGCCTGCGGTACAAGTATGAGAATATGGTTTTGTACCACGTATTTCAATGAATTTTAGTTGTCGGTGAAGCATTTAGTGCAGCACGTCAATTCCCCGACCAACAATTTGCTTTTCTGCTAAATCGTTGGCCGACATTTTGCCGAAACATTTTTGGTGACCGACGGCCAGCTTTGCGGTTCGGTACGTTGGTTTCTTAATTTCATGTTGTTTTTTCTTAGGTTTCTCAGATTTCTTAGGTTTCTTAGCTATCGTGAATTCCTCAAGTCAGCGAAATGTCGCCAGCAAGTTGTTGATGTTCACAAAAAGTCGTTAAGAGAAATGCCATACCACGATTAGTCGTTTCAACAAACCGTGGGGTAATCGTTTCGTCGGTCAGCAAAAAGTCAGCAGCAAGTTGTCGGTCAGACGAAGATTACTCGTCAGCGAACTGCCGGTGAAACAGTTGTCTGGCCACCCACGGACTGTACAGCACACATAAAAGATACCCACTCACCACCACATCTTCATCCCGCAACGGCACGTCCTGCCGGTGGCGCAGATAGTGCATCGTGTGGCTGAAGACCTGGCCGAAGTGCACCTGGCACTGTTTTTCCACGTATTGCAGCAGCCACGTCGCTGCAGGTCGCCCCAACATCCAGTAGTCGTTGGGCACGCTGCACGTCTGCATGACAAAAGGGCTCGCTGCCAGAAGCCCGCGCCTCCCTGCTTTTCCACAGGTACGGCGAACCTGTATCTCGGGAAGGAATTCGCGACGCCACTGCCCGTCCACCATGACCTCCACCAGCGCCGCCTCCTCGAACTGGTCGAAGCGGGGCATCAGCATTTTCCCCGGGTACCACTTCCAGTGCGGGCCGTCGTGCAGCAGCCCCTCCACCGCAGCTCCTTTATCGGGGTCACTGAATCGATCGAAGGAACAGTCCCAGACCTTCCCGTACTCTACCACCACCGCCTGCTCTGCCGGGCATCCGAAATCGACCAGCAAATGGGGGGCAGCGCTCCCGGTCTCTTCCAGACCGATCACGTGGCCATGCTGTAGCCCACCGTTGATCTCAACGTCCACGGCGTTCCATGCGTACACCGATCGTCGCATATCTTCGTACAGATGCATTTTTACTGTCTGGATGAAAACGAGAACCAGACAAGTAGCTGTGTTCTTTGTACGTATAAAGGCAATTAGCAAAAGAATTTGTTTAGTAAGTAGAAACTAAAAATATATGTGAATGGACATCGCCCTCGAAGCGGTGCTCTGCTGGTAAGAATTAAGTTATCATTGCGCACGCTTTAAAGGGGCAATGTCAGCAGCCCAGAACAGCAATGGAGAAATATCTGGTGATTTTATGCAGCCAATCCGAGCGCCTATACAGTAACTAGGCCACATGGCTTAAAGCCGTGTACTACCTGCGGCCCACCGAATCGCTGCTTTTTGTATGGTGTACCGGGATTCGTTCGCTTGATGAATACTGAGTCACACAGTCCACACTTTAAGGCGCATCTATGTGTTCTGCTATTTGCTATGATATGATGCGATTGGTCGGCGATGCATACTGCATTTGTATTTGTTTCCGTGTGTATCTTTTCTCAAAAATTTCGATAAGATGGATTTGGCCCAGCAAATCTGCTGATAAAAAACGACTGGAGCAGCGCTTTGCCATGCTTCTTTTTCGTGTGTACAGGAACAGGACAAGACACACCAACAACTGAATCTGCAATTGCAGCGATACGTTATTCGACACCTGATGGAATCGCGCTCTACGACTGACGCTATTTCTTCCGTCTGCGAGACACAATTCTGATTTTAACATTGCAGAGGCATTTTTAATAATTTTTATGTTAATATTCCTCCGTTGTAATGTCGAAATGGCTGTCCGGCGCTGACTCGGGCTCGGATGCTGTGGTACAGCATTCAAACAGTTTGCCGTAAATCTTTCTGATCCGGCGACACGGCGGGACGAATGAGCAGACGGGGTTATCACACAACATGAGGTCCGGTCGATCGTGAGGTGCGGACACGCTGTGCAGGAAGCGGTCGTCGACGTTGGTTAGTTGATTAAACATCAGCAGCACCGACTTTACTCCGTGCATGACGTCGAAGCGGCTGAGAACAATCCGCTGGATGTGATTACTCGACAGGTCTAGATTCTGCAACAGGAAATCCAAGTTTATTTTAGGACACTATTGCCTTGTTACGGACCGCTATTAAGCCTTAATATTAAGCCTTCGTCAAGAGCATAAAATCTGTCTGATGCCACGTAAGGCGTAACGTAACACCTTCCCAATTCCCCACAAATTCACTACCATTTCTTAGTGGCACTGGAACTCGCGCTCGTGCAGGGATGCGGTTGACAACAATCCCTAGTAATATGTTGGACTAAAGAGAAAATTTTATATCATGCTCTTTCGATACCTTGAGGCTGCTGGTTAGCGGTTTGAAGACGGTCCAATCCAACGTTGTAAGATTGTTGAATGTGATGCTGAACCGACCGAGACTCGGTAGCGCCGATCCCGACGCAGCGCCCACCGCGGTAAACGCATTGACCTCAATGGTCGACAGGCGGTTACTGTACAGATACAACGCCTCCAGACGCACAAACCCGCCAAACGTCGCCCGGGTGATCGTCGGTAGATAGACCTGCGTCAGGTCCAAAGAAGTCAACGTCGCCTGCACATTGACCAGGAAGCCGGCGACGGGAAAGGGCCGGTCATCGGGCGCCACCCAGATGTGGGTCAAAAACACGGCGGTGACGTTAGGGCGATGTGGAAGGGGCGTGAAGGTATCCAGTAAGCAGCTGGGTGGGCACAGATTGCGCGACATGGTTCCCAGGAGGATCTCGGTGGCGTTGGCGGCGATGGCGCTGAGATTGACGGCGGGTATATCGCAGGCGCACAGCTTGCACTGGTCGCTGCAACCCGATAAAGTCCAGCGTTCGCAAGGAGCACGCCGTAGCAATTCTTCATTATTCGGCGACGGATGGGAGAACTCTTCTGGGACGGGACAACTCCATGGGGGTGCTAGACAGTTCACGCGTCGCGGGAGAACGCACAACACCGGCAGAAAAAGCAGGTAATAATTCGGGCGTAATCGAGTCATTGCGTGGAGATTCAAAGTAGCTTTAGTAACAGATTGCAGCCTTAATGCGTGCCAGTGCACTCAGTATACTGTATCCGAGCAAAAGAAGAGCAACTAGGCAGCACATTGCTGTTTCTCTACTGGTATCTCAAGCCTTTAGGCGTTCAGTGAGTCAGCGGACGATGGACTGCAGATGCGACGCAGCAGCCGCTTTCCGCGACAGGATACTACGTGCCATCATTCAGCGGCGTCTGACGGTGGAAAGTGTAGTTTACTTCCTTGTCAGTGTCAGCCGGCAAACTCTTATGTTAGGTCCGCGTTCAGGCTGAACGTGTGTGCTGAACGGTTCAGCACACTTTGCGCTGACTTTAATTACTACAGACAGTAGTGTGGGTTTTCTATCTGATAATGCTATTGTGATGTAATATGTAGAAGTAGTAGAAGTACGTATGTACGTATCAGTATCGGGAAGTACGCATCTTTATTGTAGCTCGACATATCGCAACTGAACATGAACCGTAGTAACTGCATGGAGTACATCATAGCGTTGCTAGGTAAGTATCCACATCTGCTGTATCAAATTGATGAGTCACTGCGCTCCTGTTTCCAAGAACTCAGTAACGTACGGGTGAACCACGACGACTACCCATGTTGGAGGCAAGCGACTCTGCCAGTTAGTCGAGGAGGCATTGGTATACGGCGAGCGGAGGAACTATCACTTCCAGCCTTTTTGGCTTCGATTCACTCCGTATCTGGTTTGTTATCGTCGATGCTTCCTCACCTACCGGCAGTGGACGCTTCCGAAGCAATTGAGTTGTGGAAAGCCAAAGCTCAACAATCAGAAATGCCTGAAGTTGCCTTCCGAAAGCTTCAGAAAACGTGGGACTTACCGCTTTGTAATGTGTCAGTTTCGGTTTTATTGGACTTATTTCGCGGCGACGGCATCAATACTGCCCGCCTTCTTGCACAGTCCAGACCGGAAGCCGGGATTTGGCTGAATGCGCTTCCTTCAGCCCACATTGGTAACCTACTCGACGACGAGAAGATGAAAATTTCAATTGGTTTGCGTCTTGGAGCGGATATTTGCGAGCCACATAACTGCACCAAATGTCACAAACATGTTGACAAGTTGGGCCACCACGGGTTATCATGCAGCTACTCGGCCGGAAGGCATGCGCGCCATGGAGGGCTCAACAGCATCATGTGCCGCGCCTGTGTTTCTGCTGGTGTCCCCGCTAAACTCGAACCACGCGGCACGTCCTCCACAACAGATCAACGCCCTGACGGATGTACAACATTCGCCTGGAAAAGAGGAATGTGTCTGGCCTGGGATGTGACGTGTGTCGACACGATGGCCCTTTCCCATCTACCGTTGACGTCGGTTACGGCAGGAGCTGCTGCTGTACAAGCAGAAGAAAGGAAGTCCCGATTTTACGCGTATCTGCAAGGGCGCTAAATCTTTTCTCCCATCGCCTTTGAGACGATGGGCCCCTGGGGACCGTCGGCTATCGCCATTGTGAAGGAGTTGGCCAAAAGGCTTCAGGAGCACACAGGAGAGCGTCGATCACACGAGTTTCTGCGTCAACGACTATCGTTGGAGATTCAGCGCGGAAATGCAGCATCTAGCCTTGGCACGATGGACGGAGTGGATAGTTTAAATGAAGTTTTGCTGTTGTGATAAATATAGCGTGCTTCTTTCTTTATTACCATAACTGGGCGATGATTATTAATAAAAGCATATAGATATTAAGTAACACTGCAGAATCTCGAGAATCTCGTATACGTACATGTCGTACGTACACTCGTACATCACAGCTATCAATTTGGAATACTGCTTAGCACAGCAAGAGCACAACTGGACGGAACTCGTATAATTATTCTTAGCAATAATACTCGTACAGTACAGTACTCAAAATTTGATAAGTCCTCTCCGCTTTTAGCTGCCTTCAATGGGAACGTGTGCGCTGGATTTTGCTTCGTAATAATTATTGCTTGTGGCACTATTAGGATTTTCAGTTGTTTTGAAAGTTTCAAACGTACAAAAACGTGCAGTGCAGCTGGATGGAATTTCCACCAGAAGTCTGGTAGAACGCTGCTCGACGTTCTACGTAACGTGTGCGACGTTAGGCGGGCAACGAGCGGATGTTTTCTTCATTTTTCAGCCGTTTGATGGTTTGATCTATAGTGTATCTGTACGATGATTTTTCTAACCGTTGCCAAGCTTTACAAAAGTTCTACACCGTGTCCCGAAGAGTTAAAAAATCAATCAATGACTGGTTTGGGATAAACCCCTCTCAAGCATATCTTCCCTTTTTTCATTTCCAGATCAAACTGAACGTACTCTTTACAAGAACTTTGTATTAGGAGTTTACAAAAAAACTTTGGACTTTATGAATTATGGCCACCGTTTAATCGTTTACCATAATGGGCGGTGACCCCTTCAACGACCATAACAGTAGAACGTGTAGTCGTGTACAACCACCAATGCCACCAAATGCATAAAGCAAAGAAAATCCGCGGACTGTGCTGTCACGTAGCTGTGTTGTAGATCGATGAAAACGCATGTAAAATAAGAACGAAAACACGAGAAAACGCGTGGCGAAAACAAACACGAATAGATATTAAGCAAGGCGGCGTCGTGACCCTGAAGATCTCAACCGCTACAGGTCATACCGTTCTGCCTACCATGATTAACAATCAACATCGACGGTAAACATCTAAGCAAAATTCAACAAAGTGCGCTTTCTACTCATCGGACTCGGACTCCGGGTCGCTGGGTGCCAGTTGCACAGGGTGTGCGCTCTCGTATGCGGACCAGTACTGCGTGTAGCGCCATAAGATACACAGACTGAACCTATTCAGCCTGCCCACGTCCACGCCGGCCACATTGTACACACACCACCGGTGTTCCCGATACCGTGCCGACGGACGCGGATCGCTGGATTGGTAGTCCCGCAGAATCTGCAAAATTACGCATCAGAACCCATGTGTTACGCTAATGACTCCACTAGCTTTATGTGCTGCCCAAGGCACTTTACGCAGTTAAGCCTAACATAGAAATCCCGACACGGATTCTGAGACTTTATCAATTACGAAACACAGTTCAAATGACAGCTAGATGACTTCCAGTGGACTCAGACAGAGTGGACCCTCTAGCATTAGCAAGCTTGGCGCTTTTATAGTCACATTCGGATAAACTGCATAAACATCCACATTAAGAAACTTCTAGAAACTTCCAAAGACTTAGATTACTAAAATGTTAATAAGAACAATAAAACGACATAGCAAAAGAAGACGGGAAATCTGTCGATTCAGATCTTATGAGCTTATGTCCAAATATGGAACTAATTGATATTCTCCCAGTTCTCTTGGTAGCTAATGATTTTGTTTACCAAGCTGTATCTAAAAATAGGTCACATGAGACTATATGGCTGATAATACGATGTTTCTTTACCCTAAGGAACCACCTTGAAAACCAAAGGAACCCAAACAAGTCAGCAAGATGCCGATCAGTGGCAAACCAGTAGCGTACCTTCTTTACGATCGTCGCTCCCTCTTCAGTGATGATCCGATTGCCCATGAAATGGGCTACTTGCTGCACATCTACCGGCGGCCCCTCGTAGTGCAGATGCTTCTCGAACAGGTCCACAACGTCCGCCTCATCGACCGCTCCCCGAGTGAAGACGATCAGGGGAACGCGGAACTCTAAGAGGGGCGCCTCCCACTTGTTTTGCACGACGACGGCCAGATCTTTGAAAATCACACGATCGCAGCAGGACTCCAGCCGGAACCGTGGCTCCGCGATTTTGTCGGTAAACAAGGCGAATTTCCATCGAGTAAATGTTGACTCTTTGTACGCGAGCGATCGCCGGTGCACGATGCAACGGGCAAGGCGGATGTCGGCGTCCTGCAAGAGACGCTGCATAACATCGAACACGTCATTAGAATACATGCCGCTTTCGCGGATGCAGATGGTGCGTGGCGGTGTGACGAGGCGAGGCCGGTGTACAGGACGTAATTATCCCGAAAGCTGTACTGCGGCCGCGGTAGGATCACCTCGCTGCATATCTCCGGCTCAATAAGAATGTCTGCCCACAGCGGACAGGTGCGGCGGCAGCGCACACGGTCAATGGTGTCCAGTGAGTGGAAGATCTCTTTCAGCACTGCCAATGGCAACGTTAAACTGTCTTTTTCACCGACGTTCAACTGGCTTAACGGCACCCTACGCTTCCGCTCAACATCCAGCTCTTCGTTTTCATCAACGAATTCAGTTTGCCAGCCAAAATCGTGCTTGCTCCTCTGGTCCTCGAACGCGGTCGCCTGTGGTAGGAGATTCAGAGCAGGATGTAAATAAGTATACCACACTGTGAAAATTGTACAATATTTGTACAGTAATAGGAAGACGTTCCCATAATTATATGGCAAAATATCGGGGAATTTACCTTGAACGTAGTCATAAGTGGAAATTGCCGTGTGAAAATGTTTTT